CAGTCTTACACTGCTAAATTAGGGACGGCTAGGGCAGATAGCCCTCGTGTAGCTTTGCGCGAAATTCAAAACAAACCAAACCAATATGTGAGTGTGGATGTATAAAACTTCCGGGCTGATTCGTCTAAAAAATAAAATATTTAAGACAGTTAAATATATATATATAACTTAACAAGTTTCTTAATGTGCTAAGACGCATTATAAATACTTATTACTTACACAATTTGACGAATTTTCTACGGTTATTATTTTTCAGTCATATCGGATGTTTCTAATGTTTAAAATATACTAGTACAAATGTTGAATGGTGTATCAATATCCAGATATTCTTACCAAACACGACAGATGTTCCAACAACTTAAGATATGACCAATATAATAACCTAACGTGTCTTCACAATGGTTGAAACAAATCTGATAAAACGTCTGTTTAACACCAACTTGACTGGGTTTTTAAAATGTCTTTACACGTTTCCTCGTGCTTTCAATTTGCATTCTTTGCTAATACTGATTTTCTTTTCTTCTTTTTTTTATCAACAAAAACACTAATAATTTTCTACTAGATATCTGTGCTTTTGTTTTCTAACTACAGCTGGACTGTTCCTTAGTTCTCCTTCATTTGTCGGTCCCTGTTGATGCTTGATTAAACGTGGGATTATTTTATCTTTGAGCCCTGACTGTGTATATACATCCGAACTGTCATTCGTTGAGCTCTGACGACATCATTTCTCATCGAAACACTGGCAGCGTATCAAAGACCACTATAAACCTCGGAACGAAATTAATGTATTCGGTATTGATTAAGTAACAAAGGCTTCGTTGCTTGGCTGGGTTGTTTCTCTTCGTGGCATTTTTTCTCGAATGCTGCATTTTTGGGGATTGCGTGTTGTTGATGATTGTGCATATTTATTTCAACTTGCAGTAACAAGATTCGTTCAGTGTTCTTCATTTAAACTTAAGTGTAGATAATGTGATTTACTGGTAAAAACAAACTCTACAAAAAAGTATCATTATTTGTAAATGCAAGAGAACTCACGAAACATTGCAATTTTGAAACATGGTTGAATCAAGGATTTCCTTGAATTAAAAGTTCTCCCCGATAAGAAATGTCTGTAAATGCAATAAGTGACATAAATGCCATTATAAGGTTGAATGTTCCGGTTTTATTTTGATGTTTTCTCACATGTACTACCTTGAAATAACCTATGCGTCACAGCTATGGTTGAATGTTCTCGTCATATTCTAGTGTTTTTCAAATCACACATGCTACCTTAAAAAAAGCCTAGACTTTACCAGATGCGGTTGAAAGTTCTAGTCTTAATCTGATGTATATCTCTTCACACATACTAACTTAAAAGGACCCAATGTTTCACCAGCTGTCGTTAAAAGTTTTAGTTTTAATCTGATGTGTGTCTTTTCACACATGCTACCTTGAAAGGAGCCCATATTTCACCAGCTGTAGTTGAAAGTTTTAGTTTTAATCTGATGTATGTCTTTTCACACATGCTACCTTGAAAGGAGCCCATATTTCACTAGCTGTGATTTATTTCTTTAATCAATTCTTGAGTCTGTTAGCTCGTTGGTGAATTTGATATGCATTTTTACTTTAAATTGCATTTAAAGATTGGTATCCCTTAATCCATTACTTTCAAAAGAAACATAAGATGTTTGTTATTTTTTATATATTGAACACAATAAAGTTAATTATAGTGAAAAAATTTGTTATAGCATTATCAAATGAATCAGAAAGTTGCTTTTTTTACAAAAGTTATCTAGGAGTAAACATAATTATATTAAATCAGTATTCGTGAGTAAATGTCAATTTCAGCTAATGATACATGATACAGCATAGGTTTCAAAAGTTCTTTCTGACAGCATATTAAACTGTTGTTACTCATAGTTCTCCGTCCAAAACGAGTGTATACAGCTCTTTCTAATAGCAAAAGCGCTTAATTAAATTGTTGTTACTGTTAGGTCACCGTACACCATGAGTTTAAATAGTTATTTCTAACAGTATATTAAAAGCGCTTAATTAAATTGTTGTTACTGATAGGTCACCGTACAACTTGAGTTTAAATAGTTATTTCTAACAGTATATTAAAAGCGCTTAATTAAATTGTTGTTACTGATAGGTCACCGTACAGCATGAGTTGCAATAGTTCTTTCTGATAGTCTACGATTTTTTTCTGACAGTATAATAAAAATAACAAAGTATTCAAAATACATTACATCTTTTCATATATATATATATATATTATGTTTTAAAGACTAATCCATGATAGTTTTTCCAAACTCTCAAATATTTTTTTCTAACTATCTTCTCATATGATAATTAATTTTAAATTAAAAGAATCATTTCCAACGACTGTAATTTTTTTCTAAGTTTTTTAAACTGAGACACAAAAATATGAACAATAACTTGTTATATATTATCTACAAGCACGTAGTTGTACAATGTGGTTGTTTACGTCGTTAAAATTCCAAATCTCTAAAAACTTTGCTACAACCATATGATTTTCATTGAAACAACAAATAAACTGTTTCTCTCGTTGTTTTAGAATGAAAAAAATCTTATAATATTTTAGTTAACCATGTAGCGCCACCGTTTGGAAGGCTTAAGCAAAAGCAGTAATTCTAACAGTATTTCTAAAAATTGTTTTCAACTGAGGAAAATACTCGAAAAATAAAATAAGACTTCTAATTAGTGGTCAAAATGTATAGGTATATGTTCCATGATTTTCTTAGCTGTTAAATAGAAAGATAGATTTATATTTCGCTTTTAAAAATCAGTTATACAGATATAGAAAAAAAAACATAAGAGGAAAATCGATACCTTTCCACCGAAAGTTATTTTAGCATTTTTCAGACTTAACCACACAATATGCTTTTTTCAGCATAACATAACAATCACTAGGATAGAACAACATTAGTTAAAGGAATAATCGATAGGACAAGACTTAACTAATTAGCAGTTATAATTACTTGAAGCTACTCTAAAAAATACGTTAAAATAATTTTGAATGTATATGTATATATATATGTATATTTTACTTAAATTTATCTAAACATATACAAGCTATTATGTTAACATCGTTGATGAATAAAGGCGTGTTTTCTATAATAATAAAAGGGCGTGTCTGTTAGTCTGTCTGTG